ACATATGGAGACATACATACTAACATACAGTGGAAAAAAATAAACCAAACGAAGCTGACGCCACTGCAGCATTTCTTAGCACGATCATTAGTGAAATGTATAAACACAACGTCTTTTCTTTCATATTAACGTCTGAAACGGGAAAAGCAAAAAAACCTAAATGTCCGTATACTGGGGGGTGGGGGTGGGGGGGAGAAGCAAGCAGAGGTCCGGAATTCTTGTAAAAAGTGCTGAGCAAACTCTTCCATTTCTCTCGAGAGGGTCATCGCTGTGACAGGCAGTTTCTCAACACTTGTGCTTCATGGCAAGCTAAGGAGAAAAAGGGGTGGCAAAGTGAGGCATTATAGCATCAGGGAGAATTCACCGTGCTGCTTCCATCCCCAAATGCACGACGAGAGGCAGCAGCGAGGTTTTACTCGCTGTGGCAGACCGCCATATTATTATTATAAATTATTAGCATTTTCTCAAAGAGCCCACCGAGCACTGCCTTTGTTACTCCTCCTTAACAGTGGCTCCTTTGGTGTCAAGTGTCCTGCTGGGGGAGCGTGCTATGCGGTTTTCCCTGCACTCCACGGGAGGAGCCGATGGAACAGCCAGGGCGCAGGCAGAGTGAGGGACCCACCTAGAACAGGTAGGCCTAGAACCGAGGTCTCTGGGCTCCCGGGTTACTAGTCATTCAGGAAAACCAATACTCCTCAAATGTAAGTATTTACTGATATCTTATAAAGTATTAAAAATCAACCGTAGGAAAACAATTGGCATTAATCCACTCAATATCCAGCCTGGACCTTCAACCAAGTTCCAAAGCGCTTGGCGAGATGAAGTGGTGTTACTGACTGGGGCTGAACAAGAAAGAGACCAAATCCAGACCTCCATTTACCACTCCTCCCATGGGTATTTGAGAATTGTGGCTTGCTGAAAGGTTAGACCTTTATAAATGGGAACGCTAATACCACTGTATCATTCTGTAGCTTCCCAAGCCCAGCTAGAGCCCACGATGATATATTGAAGGCAACACAGGCAGGTACGGAACATAAAGTTAAATCTGACTTTGCTTTTCTTAGATCCTTTCCAAGGAGCCCGTACACTGGGAGGTGACCCCGAAGGCAGAGCTGCGCCTGAACTGTAATTCCTCACGTGTCTGGAGTCTGGCATTAGGGAGGGGGTTGGGACTGGGAGTAGGGGACAGGGTTCTGCCATTCAGAATGACTTGCAGCAAACAGCAGGTGATTCTCTGCAGGCAAGAGCTTTGTAGAAAGCCCTGTCGTCTGCTTCATGACCAGGTTCCTGGTCCTTGAAGGATGAGCCAGGGAGCCCCCTGATTCCACACAGTGGTGCTGGCCGTCATTCTGGGCGGTGTCAACGATCCATCTCTCCAGTGTAACCCAGGGCAATCGGGGTCTGCCATCCCTTTCTTTGATGTCTTCAAGAACAAAGTCATAACCCCGGGGCTGCCACCTCAGTTAGGCCACCTGAGAGAGCAGCAAACCCTTCCTTTGCAGCCGGTGCACAGAGGGGACATGCGGACCTAGCCCTCGGGCTGCTAAATTCACCGCAGCTGGAAGAGCTCCCCGTGCCTCTCTGCCTGGTGAAGCCAGCCTCAGCAAGACCTCCATAGACCCTCCGCAGTGTGGACGCCACATCCGTCAACCATTGGACAGTGTGTGTGAGCATGCCCGGGCTGTTCCCGTGCTAAGCGCTGTGGGTTTTTGCTCAGAAAGGGGGAGGTGGCTAGTAACTCCTGACCTCGGAGAGCTTATGGTCCAGGAGACATGGTGGGTGGGGGGCTCTCCTTCTGATCTGTTCCATGGCCCTGCCACCTGCAGCCCCTCCACTGTATGGACTCCACTTCTTGCTCTGTCTCTCATTTTAATACATTATTTAGCAACGTGGACGACTCCAATCAACACAGAGCTGTTAAGTGTTGTGCATAATGAATACCAAACATATATATTTGATCAGTGCTGCTGTCCTGTTATTCACAGAGCTGTTAACCTTCAGCTAATGGGCTCGTGCCAATTCACCCACAGTCATTAATCTTCAGCAACAACCGGGCCCCGGTGACCGCTACCGTGGGTCTGGGATGGCGCTAAGCCCAGCCCCCACCAGGTGGGGCCGTGGCCAACTCAGCATCGCGGAATACGACAGGACTGGGTCTTTTACTATTTGAAGTATCTTTGCAGAAAGTGGTACCATTTCCATGCTACCTAGGGTTTTTGTTGTTGTTTGTTTTTTTAAAATTCTCTGGGAGTTGGAAGTCTTGGAATATGGAAGGCAGGGTTGCTTCTTTGCTACAATTTTGCTGCATGACCTTGAGCCCTAAAGTCACAACTGCTCCATACCTCAGTCTCCTCATGATCATAAATATCATCTCTAACTCAAATGCTTCCAACTCCCTCTAAATAATGATAAATCATTACTCATATTGGGGGAGAGTTTTAAGAGACCTGGACTCTTGAGGTCCCTTCTGGTTCAGGGACCCAAAGGAAGCAGGTGACTGTAGTGAGGACAGAGGCAGCCGCTCCCTGCCAATGAGAGAAACCCCCACTTACCACCCCCTGCCCCGCAAACGTGAGCGTGTACAAAACAGGGCAGATCGGCATTCCTTTCCGTGAGAAATGGCATCTGAGGATGCCTAGGTATGGGTGCCCCTCTTGCCTGCGGACTCAGTGCCTGTGGCGGGTGTCAGAGCCAGGCGCGCACGGCAACGGTGTGCCTTCTGGGGCAGGGGAGAGTCAGCAGGCCTGCTCTGCGGCTGCGCTACTTTCCTAAGGGCTGAGACGGTGCCAAGCCCGCAGCTCAGGAAGGAACTGCGCTTCCTCAAGGCAGGCTGAACAGAGCCGGGGGAGACGGGGTGCAGGAGCAGTTTCCATCTGCTTTCCTGGAGTTAAGCACCCACATATCTTGATGGCAGGGCTGTGCAAAGGTGATCCACTCACTAATGGACCTGGGTCACTGCAGGAGTCCTGGGAAAAGTTAGATCCTTTTGACTGCAGTGTAGAGAAGTGTGCCATAGTCTGGCTGGGGTGACATGCCCTCATTCAACCAGGGAGCATGGACGAGTCTCACCTGGTCTTGCTGTGGTCTGCGAAGGGTGCCGGCATGTACCCTGTGTCTCAACTCGTAAACACAGCCCACTCTTTATGAATCAACACAGCTGCTTGTCTGGGGGTGGAAGGTTTGTGTTCCACCTCGGCATGCTGTCCTCACCAGCAGGTCTGGTGGGGGCTTGGCTGGGGAAATGACATCTTCACGGTCAGGCCACGCCAGTGGGTTTAAATCGGGAGTCCTAGTCCCTGGGAAAATAGCCACACCTTATCTAAAGAGGTCACTCTCCTCGTTAGGAATGCCGCCAATGCTGCTGATTCATAAGCACACATCCCAACTTTAGAAAACCACACCTGGCCAGGACAGTGCCTAGCTCCCACTCCCTCACATGCAGTAATAGACACCAGCAACCCCTTCACCTCCTTCTTAGAACACCCATGGGCAGGGAAACCAAAACAAGGGCATGTCGCCCCCTCCCTCCTCCATCTCTCCTGAAAACAGGCCGCTGGTGGCACTGATCCTCCCAGTGGTCAAGGCCAGAGGCCCCTTTGCCTTTGGTGGCCTAATCAGTTTCTAACCTGACAGGCCCTGTTTCAAGGGTTGTTCTGTGTTTAGAAAGTATCCGCCATTAGCAGGAGCCCTGCCCAGCCCACTCTGGGGGGGGGGCAAAATCTTCATCTCCAATTCCTCCCCATCCCTTTGTTGGGGTCCTCAATCACATTTCTCCATGCCCTTACATAGGTGCTCGTTATGGGATGGAATAGGGCAGGTTCAACAGAACTATTTTCATGGAAATTATTATCGCCAGTATTAATTCAGATCTGTATGTCAGGTACTGTGATCGTAGATTTATAGGTTTGAATTCATTCAATTCTCTCAATGCCCTAGGAGACAGGCACTGTTATTAATTTGCCTGAGTTTACTGATGAGGGAATTGGGGCTTAGAGAAATCAGGCACTTGCCCAAGGTCATGGGGATGGTAAGTCAAACATAAGATGTTAACCACACCATACCGTCTTCCCAAGCACCTAGCAAACTTGGCAACAACATCAGGGAAACAGGGCGTCCAGGGCCAAGAATCATGGCCATCTGGTCAGGTTATCCAACCCAGTGTTTGTACAACCGCCTCTGAGGGGGACGCCCACATGGATGACCTCCAGGTATTGTCTACTCCGCCTTAGGAAGAGTGATTTCACAGACTTCCTTGGTAACCTGGCTCATGATTTCATCATTCACCTAAAGTCTGGTTTTAGCAGAATCTTATCAGTGCACTGTTGACTGTTCTATTCTGTGAGGCAAGGTCTGAAAGAGAACTGCCCGCACTATCACCCCTCCCAGACTTGAAGACAATTAAAAAATGACTCCCTTTAGCGTTCTCTTCCCCAAACCAACACTTTGAATGCTTCTCCAGGCTTCCACTATCACCCCACCCCCAATCGCAACATTTGCTGTGGTTATAAATGAAGCTGGGGCAGGAATTCTAGGGTTTCCATCTCATCATTCTGTCTCACAAAGGCTGGAGAAGGGACCTTAAATCTGAACCTTCTGGAAATCTTCAGTCTGAGCTCCCTCTTTCCGGGACAAGCGGTGAACAAGGGTGTGGCCTCCAGCACGGCCACCCTGCATTTTCAGCCAGATCTGGCCAAATCTCCTCCAGGGAAGCCCACATGGGCCCCCGAGACAGGGGTGCGGTAAGACCCCGTCACAACAGAGAGCTGATGACAGAAGGACACAGGACTGTGCAAGGGGGCTGCAGGACAGGAAAGCAGGAAGCATCCCCTGGGGTTCCGATCCACAGTCAGCCCTGGGCATGAGTCCCTGGGTGAGGCCAGCCAGCCTCAGCTGGGGAGACCTTTCTCATTACTTTTCAGGTTGTGCATTCTCCCTTCTTCAGCAGAGCTGGGGTTTTCTGTTGAAGCAAGTTAATTTTTTCCCCAAAGGTCACCTGAAAAGCATATCTGAAAGGCCGGATCATGAGTCGGAGAGGCCAACAGTTATCAGCAGGGGTTGTTTCTGGAAACCTAAATTCCAATCCCTAGCCAGACAGCTGCCCTTTGACCCGAAGCACAAGATCAGTCATAAATCCTCTATCCCCTGACCAACAGGGCCACCCTTTCCTTTGGTTTGTGACTGCCTCAGAGAGCTGGCTGCCAGTAAAAACTCCCCTTTCCCCTTCTGGAAGGCACAGTCTTTGGGAGCGTGTGCACGTGCATGTGTGTGCCTGTGGTCACGTGGGAAAAGCCACGACCTGGGTTCAGAGCAGGTAGGAGCCCTGGGGGCAGCTCTGCATGAGTCAGGGCAGCCTTAGAGATCCAAAGCCCCTTGCAGAGGGGCAAGCAGCCCTGAGGTGCCCTGTGTGTGTTGGGGGTGGGGGGACTAGAGCTGGCTTTTCATACAGTGAAGAGATAAGAACACAGGATGCTGGGCTCATGACCGTGACCGGAAAAGGGCGGCAAGGAAAAGTAAGCACGGGCCGCCCCAAGTCCTTTCCAAGCACTGGCCATGGGGGGGGGGGGGGGCGGATAGTGTTGGATCTGACCTCCTCCTCCCCCCATCCTCTTCCCTGAAACTTGAGCCCGAAAATTCTGGGCAGGAACTAAGGTTGGTCCACATTTCCCAAAGATCCAGATCCAAGGTCAGAGACAGAGAGAAAGATGTTAGCAAGGACAGAAATGAAGAAACAGGTACAAGAAGCACTTTCACGATTCTGGTACTTACTAAGCAGCAGGTGGTATAAAGGGTGGGGAGAAAAAGGGCTTGATTTTGTATCTCCCACTATGGGAAACACACTGCAATAAGTTTCTCGGAGCCAAAGCTCCCTGAGCACCCAGAGTGGAGACCTTCGCCCCTCTGTTGGACCCACCTTGTGCGCAGTTTCCGCGAACTGCTGGGCGCTGTTCTTCATGTCTTCCGTCTTCTCCTCTGCTCGGCCTAACCGCTCCCCGCGCTCATTCAAGGCCTGGCTTGCTTTCTGTACAGCGCTGGTCACACTATCGGCTGCCGAATGGAGGATGCTGTTCCCTGAAGAAGCACAGCAGAAGCGTCAGAGGCCGCCCCGGCTGACCTCCAGTGAGAGAACCCTGCGATGGCGGAGCACCTGCAAGAGCAAGGCGGGTCCCTACAGAGAAGCTTCAGGTATCTAGGAACCAGTCAACATTTCTTCTGATCTTGTCTGACTGCATGTGTGTAGGAAGAGGAGCCCCAGCCTGCAGGACTTGGGCAAATACCGATGGCTTCTCTCGTATCCCCTTCACTGACACAGCCCTCTCTCCTGCCATTCTGTTTGGTGAGGGTCCAAGGGACAGGGGCCATCTGGATTTAGGACTTGGCTTGCAAAAGTAAATAGAAATCCTGACAAGTTTATAGAGTTAGGCAAGTTCAGTGAGACATATCTGGATCTTATGCACATTTCCTCTTGACCTGGGGTTTAGGTGAAAACCCACAGGGAAAGGGGGCACAGAACTTTTCCGGAGAGAATGCTCTGTATTCCTTTCAACTCCTCCCTTCCATTTTACCTCGCTGTCCCTAGATGCATGGCTTCTTGTAAGCAGCTGTGAATTAGTCTCAAAGTTCAGCGGAGATGTGCCAGCTCCCAACCTTGAATGCTGAGCCATGGCTTGGTTGGCTGGGCCTCCTTGCCTCTGATCTCCAGTTCATGAAATATGGGGCCTTAATACTGCACTTAGCCAGGAGGTAGAAAATGGTGACAGAAACCAGCCTCAGAAGAAACTGAGGACTTCCAGATTCATGAGGAAGTTGAAAACCATCACACTTCAAAGGATTATGTATCCCTGACATCCCATTTGCCAGGACTGGAAAACACGATTTAACAGTGAAGAACTGGCGGATGCATAACCCACTGAGAACCAGAGACTTGCAAAATTACAACCCAGGAGAATTTATAGCTGTATTTTGTTAACATTGAGTGGAAAACATTTAATGGCACTTTATGTAATAGCTTTATGCCTTTGGATAAGTTTATTACATCATTTAACTTTGTACTTGGGATGGATACATCTAGCCACAGACAGCTTTTAATAGAAATGTAGTCTACCCCCCCCAACCCCCCACCTCCAGTCTCAGCTGTAAAGGCTTCCTAATTTCTCTTCTGTGGCAAAAGTCTGTGGTTTGTGGAACAGAATCTCAAGCACAGAAAGTGCCTCGTGCCTATGAAGGATTTTGTAAATTGTTTCCCATTTTTCTTCTTTAGGAGTGGATTTTAAGGGCCTCCACTGTGTGCTAAGGGGAGGAGAATGGGGTGGTATTACTCAGTTGTATTAAGGACTCCATGAGCCAAGATAAATCAACAGAGATTAATAGGGACTAGAGGAGAGGAGATGAGGCTCTGGAGGAAACTGGTTGAATACAAGGACTGGAATGGAAAGGCTACGTCTTTAGAACAGATGGAGGAGGAGGCGAAATCTTGGTCCCCCCTTCTGCTTTCACATCATATTCATGACTATGATGATAGCCTAGGTTAGACCATTCCCTAACATGGGAATAGCATTTTGCAATCTTAAGTACCCTGACAAATATTATCTCATTTGGCTGTCACACAAATTCTCCTGAGAAGACTGAGACTAAGTTGAGGTTAAGTGGTTTGCAAGGAAGGAAGTGGCATGGCCAGCACTGGAACCTGATTTTCCAACGATTCTTCCTTATTCTGTAGTTTCCTCTTTGCAGATATGGTGTAGGTTGTGGGAAGCAATGCAAGTAGACAGAATTGTGAACAGACTAGCAGAGACAGATTTTGACAGTTTATTTCCCAGGGTAATGCCTGACTGTTTCTGTCCTCAAGGTATTCCTCTTGGTCAATGAAGAGTTATTGCCCATGCTGTACTGTAAGTCAAGTGGTCTTGAGAAGAAAGAGGCCAGTGGGATGGAATGGGAAGATGGAAAGGACTGGAAGGGGCAGAGGAGGGGGTGGAGCACACTAAAATTTCCTCCCTTTCTTGCTTCCTTTCACATACCCACAGCTTAGCTACCAGAGGCTAGGGCAAATATGGGGCAGGGAATCTGAGACTTCACAGCCAAGAATAGCTGTATTAAACCAAAGGGATTTTAGAATTAGCTACCATAAAATTAGGAGGGTATATAACTAGGACTTGTCTTTTCCCACTGAAATTGACCCTCATGATGTCCTCCACGTTAGACACATCTGTCTTTCTGGAATAAGCCATACTGTCTTGTCATGACTTCCTGAACCTTGTACAAGGTATGAGGTAACACTGCATCCAGTTTTATATGATACTGTTTAACCAACAGGCATTATTACTAAAAGAGAACCAAAAGCTGTCTTCAGTATTCAAAGATGACACTGATTACCAAGATCAACAGAAAATCCACCTCCAGGTATTTTCAGATATGAGGATGGATTTGAACAAATCTCAGGGCCTTAGCTGAAATGACCTCTCTCTCCTGGTTTCAATTCTAACCGTATTTCAGGCTCAGTGAAGTCTCATCACCTTTGTCAAGCTTCAGGTCAACTCCAAACCCTCCTTCCTCTCAACTCTGTAAGAACTGTCTATATCCTTCGTGGGCACTTATCAAGGACATTCATGGGCAACTTTTCTACCTCATTTTTCACCTGTAGATGCAATGACTTTCCAGCCAGGTGATAAATTCCCCAAGGGGGCACCGTTTCATTATGTTGGCCAATCCTTAAATCTTGAATCTTTCTCCTTTTCCCTTGGGTCTCCTGCTTGCTTACTTTCTTCTCTCTGAGATCTTGCTAAAGCTGCAGTTCCAAGCTTCTGTCCTTGGCCTTCTTCTCTCTCTCTCTCTCTCTCTCATTCTATAGACTCTCCCTAGATAATTTTACTCAACTCCTGGCTTCCAAGACCAAATTCCATCTTTCGCTAGGTTGTGCTGCTAAGCTCCGGACCCATGTTTTCTTACTTGACAACTCCAGGAGAGTGACCCAAGGTCATCTGGAATTCATTATGTGTAAACCTGAGGTTGCAGTTACCTTATTGAATTTACACACACACACACACACAGACACAATCTTTGCTCATATCTCTGACAATTCCTAGAAATGAAATTGCTGATTCAAAGAACATACACATTGTCAAGGCTCTTGATGCATGATGAAAATTGCTTCCCTAAAAGATTCACTCAACTGTCAACACCATTCACCGGTGTGCACGCTATGTGCCAGGCACTGTTATACTGACGCAAATGGCAGAATGACTTTGAGGGAGTGATTTAACTTCTCTGATCTTCAATTTCCTCATCTGTCAAATGAGGGTCATGCCATCCAGCTGGTGTGGTTGTTGTGGAAATGAAGATGAAGATGTATGCCAATTGCCTGTAGGTGTTCGGTGGATGCTTGTCCCTCCACCTCCTTCAGACCACATCTGCTCTCTAGGAATTTTGGAAAAATGGCACCATCCCACCCAATTCCATTGCGTGTCTCCCTCTCTTCTCTCCTATTTTGGGGTTAAGTGTCTTGAGGCTCCCAGAAGACCCTTCTTAGATATCTTTGTATACCTGTGGTGCCTAGCTCAGGGTGTTGCTCAGAGAGGCAGCTGAGCACAAACTCACTAAATCAAGGCATGCTTTACTCAAAAGTTGCGGCCCATCATGTTGTGTTGAGTTTAAATCTGGAAATAAAACAGTCTCCCAAGGCAGACAGAACAGTATTTCTCTCTAAATAGACAGGAAGCATATTACTACCCAAATTTATTCAAGCAGTCTGAGAAGAGGCTGTCAACCGCAGCAAAATAAAGTCAACTGCCTTTTGAATTATAGTCTCTGGAGAGTAGAGACCAGTCTTACTTTATTGATGTTGCATATACATCAGTTCCACTTGATATGTGCTTTTAAAAAAAAAATATATATATATGCTGGCATCTCTATGTTTTTTTATGTTGGCATCTTTTATGTGAAGTGATTGAGTAGACTTTAAAAGCTATGGCTTGAGATAAAGCAATAACACTGTATTCAGTCACTGCTCGAAAACACAATTAAAATAAATTTAAATGTATAGGAAAACAAGGGGAAAAGACTAAGGTGTATTGATAAACAACAATAGAAGAGAAAGAAGAGGGGGGAAGATTTTCAAAAGCACACGAAATATGCCAACAGCTCCAAGAGCAACATAATTTCTTTATACTGTCTTAGACTTCAGGTTGTATCTTGGTAATCAAAATTCCTAATTTAATAGCTAGGAAAGAGGCAACTTCAAGAATTTTCATCAGCTATCTCCTCTATCAAATATCTACATCTTCGTATCTCTCTGCATCTCTATATCTGTATCTATAAAGATGACACCTATAGGTATGTATATTCGAAATCCAAAATATTCATCTTGTTTGGACAAAAGCAAGAAAATCATCTAAAAAAATAAGTGATCAATAAATATATGCCAGTCTATACTCGGTGCTGAGTAAACACACTCATCTCAGAGCACTGTTTTAAAACTGAATTGTTTTGGGGGCGCCTGGGTGGCTCAGTCAGTTGAGTATCCAACTCTTGGTTTCAGCTCAGGTTATGATCTCAGGATCCTGGGATCGAGCCCCATGTCAGGCTTCGTGCACAGTGTGGAGTTTGCTTGTCTCCCTCTCTCTCTGCCCCTCCACCTACTCTCTCTCTAAAATAAAAATAAATAAAATCTTAAAAAAAATGGAATAGTTTTAATAGTTTTGCTTGACTACTTCTACTCTATAGTCAATTTAACCATGTAGGAAGAACTGTACAATAAAGCCCCATGTATCCAAACTAACTTAAAGGAAAACCAATTATAGAAAAAAATATATAACATGGATACAATAAACTCACAAAAATTGGCAGGGAGCTCCATTATATTAAATCTGTCAATAGACCACGGACACTGGGAACTCTCATAGTATCTGTCCAAAGTGTTTAGTAATAGTAATAATTTATTCACTGGGTGGCTTAAATAGTCCCTATTCTATTCTTGCCTATGGTATTACTATTTTTTAGCAAAGCTATTTTCATGGGTGGACATAAAGTACACTTAAGTCTGGTCCAGTATTAGTGACGTTCAAATGAACTTT